ACTTTATATGCACAGAGGCATATAAAGTTTTGGACCAGGGAAGCGCTTACACGGTTCCTTAAGCGACTGTGTGATGTTTTAATTTATGACTTGATTAGAATAAGGTTAATTTTTGTAAGCATACAGATTACTGTATCCTAAATTTGAATGTTGGTTTTTGTTTATTTTTGCACAGTGCTGGGGGTCTATCCCAGGCCTGGCTATGCTAGGCAAGCACTCTCCCAAGAGTCAGCCATTTCTTCAAGCCGTGATCTTTTAAAAATAAAATTTACAATTATATTTCAATAGAATTAATTTAAGTCGAACCCTATAGCTTCACGGGCATGGGTTTGTTAAACAATGATCTAAAAAACAACCCAGAGCTCTCAGAGTTTACCACAGGGATCCACAGTACAGGAAATGTCAACAAGCCCTCGTTTGCCCCAGAAGAGGGCCTGCCCGACAACCTTGGCATCTCTTACCAGCGCGTTCACGTCCTCCGTCTTGTGGATGAGCATACGAATCTCTTCTGGGTCTCCGCTGAAGATGGCCTGGACCAGTGGTGGCTGCAAAACCAAGAAATGAGAATTAGGACCGTTTTTAATCACTATGCTTGCATTCATGTGCAGACAACAAGAACGAGATTTGCTCCTTCTAAGTTCATTCAAGAATTATCAATGGGAAGACAAAAATAAAGAACACTCGGGCCTACACTCACAAGGTGTCTGTGACAGACCTTAAAGATCCTGTCAAGGATATGTCCGGACACAGGATTGCCATATTTAGCCCAGAATGGACTAAGCCTTGCCACACCCAATTCAGTGGAGACTGGGCCTTTGAGAGTTTGTTGGGAGGCTCCGGGAGGGGATCCCAGCTACCTCTGTACCCCACCAGAACACTGGAGCTCTATTCAAGGAAGGCTTGCCTCTTCTCCAGCCAAATGCACAGCTTTGGGAGGGATGCACATGGCGGTAAGGACGGAAGAAGACATGCACCTATGTGGCCAGATCAGCCAAATCAACCCCCCGAGATCAACGGCATGACAGGTGTTGCAGCCAGATCGCCCTCACATCCAACATAAGGTCTTTATGGAGGACATTACGACCTAAATACTTGTGGGTCAACCTTCAAAACACTCGGCAATCACTCCCAAATGCTTTAGCCAATGGGCACTTAGGATGATTACTGATTTAAAATGGGATGTAACAAGGGTGAGCGAACAAGGAAGGGGCAAAGGAGAACCTGGGCAGTGAGTCCTGCAGGGTGAGAGGAAGGTCAGGACAGGATACCCAAAGGGCTTGAAAGGGGGCACCTTAGGCTGGGTTTACAGATGGAGAAGGGAGGGCGCTCCATCCTGAAGAGAAGGTGTGCAAAGGGATGGATACGCCCAGGACCCGACACACAGACACCATCACTAGCTGTTGAGTGGAGCGTGCATACGTGCGCATGTGTTTGTGTGTGTCTGTATGTGTGTGTATGTGTATGTGTATGTATGTGTGATCATGTGTATAAGTGATTATGTGTGTGTATGTGTGTGTGTGTGTAGTGTGTAAATGTATGTGTATTTGTGTGTATATGTGCATGTGTGTGTATATACATGAGTGTGGGTACACATATGGAAGTCAGAAGGCGACCTTGACTACTGGTCCTCCCCTTCCTCTTTGTTTGGGACAATGTTGCTCTGCTGTCCGACACTGCTCACACCAGGCTAGCCGGCCCGCAGGCTCCCATGGCTCCCGTCCCTGCTTCCCTCTCAGCAGACAGTGGGGATAGGAGATGCCGGCAACTGTGACCAGCACTGGCTTTTGCATGTGGGTTCCAGCTCAGGGCTCCCACCTGCGCGGCGGGCTCTGCCCACTGAGAACCTCTGCAACTCCCTGGTTTTCAATGATGGTTAGTGCTGGATTGGGAGACCAACACAAGATTACCAGGAGGAAGCAGCAGGAGTCCCCGAGGTAACACCCCATGAAGTGTGTCAAATTGCAGGTGAATGTTTCCACCGGCCGTGAATCTGTCCACAGATAGCCCCTCTCCCCAGCCACGAAAGCTCCCAGCCAACACGCCTCTTCCTGCCCACCCATCTCTCAGTCTACTATATGCCAAGGTACAGGGACAGTTTTCAAGTTGTCCGCAACTAAGCACCAAAAGATGGCTTAGAACAGAGGCAAGTTTTCTGTTGGCTCAGTCTCTGCTGGTGGCTCTGCAAAAACAAAGAAATCCTTCCGTTCCTGTTTTCTTCCTGCTGACCAAGACCCCGGCAGAATCACACCAATCTTTTCCCTCTGCTGCCGGTCTCTGAGCAAAGTGCTGTTGGGTGGATGTCCACCTAAATGAACCTTGATGGAGGAGGGAAAAACTCAACAGCCACAAGGCAGCATGTAGAGGTGGAGTCTGGCAGGGTTGTGGCGTTAACGCCAGAAAGGTCGCACAACAGCTGACAAGTTCAGATGCCGGAGTGCAGGATCGGTCAGTGCCTAGGAACATGGTGCTCTGGACAGGACTTCTCACTCTGGAGCACAAGGAATGCAGACAGATTCTCTGCAGGATTCATTAAGCCCTCAAGCTCCTTGAGCGAGGCAAGCCTCCCAGGCGATGGCTGGAATGTTCCCAACCAGAGGCTCCCTGACGCAGCTGCCAGGGAAGGATGCCAGCGCAGTCTCAAAGCACATGGAGGTGTGTCAAGCGTCCCATAGGCCCCGGCCCAGCTCTGCTCACAGCTGCTTCGTAGCACATGGACAGACACAGATCTGGCCTCCCGAGGAGGCTGAGCATTTGCGTGCCCTCCAGTGCGGCTGCCACATACAAAATCCGCTCCCTGACAACTGCACACATCCGCACGGCGCACATACACATCTACGCTTGGACACGTGAGCATAGAGACACATGTTAATTCACTTACAGATACCTCCCACTCCCTGCAGAAGCGCCTGTTCTCCACAGCCCACGGCAGACAAACATCTCTACTTCATTCTGCTGTGAGCTGTCCCATCCCCACCATCTTCACAACTGTGAATCCAAGTCTCACACAACTCCAGACCAGGACTTCACAGACACTCTGATGGCATGGAGCTAAGTGTTTGCAGTGACTCTCCCATAAGTAGTGCTTTTTTAAATACACTTTAGGGCCGCTCTCTTCCTAGCTCTCCCTCACTCGCCCTCCTAAAGAGAACACAGTCAGAAAACACTCGGGTATTTCCATTCATTGGGATTTTAACCCCAGGTAAACATTTACCTGCAAATAAATATTTGGGGAACGATACATCTAAATACCGTCTATATCAAGTCATTATTCTCATTACAGTATTTGCTTCGTAAGTGCTGAAGACTCACATTCTGCCCCACATTTGCCATTATACCATTTGCAGCCTTTGCCTTAGTGGTGCTAAGCCTTAAAACGGGAGAGTTCTCTGCGTGAGGCAGTGTCGTCACCGTGGTGTGCATGGCACAATGGGTCCCCCTTGGCCACAGTTATGCTCTCCATGGGTTTCCATCAATGGCAGCCAACCTCAGTTCAAAACTATTAAGTGGAACATTTCAGAAATAAACAAATCCCCTTTTTAAAATTGTACACCACCCTAAAAAGCCTGGCAAGATGTGCTGTCTTGCTGTATCCTGCCTAGGACATGAGGGCGCTACCTGCCCGTGGGCCCCTCAGGTGCCAACTCAGCTAGCAGATCAACTGTCACTGTGTTCAAGGATGCTTTTAGTTAACAATGTCCCCAGAGCACAAGAGTAGAGGTGATAGCCATCTTATTACAGTGTCATTACCTTACTGATTGTTATGGTTAATCTAGGAATCAAATGCTGTCGTAAGGAGGTATGTATAGATGGGATTAAAAAGAGCCATAGCGCACACTGGGTGTGGCACGGCCCACAGTTTCAGGCGCACACTGGGGTTCCTGGAATACACACCCTGTAGATAAGGGGAAAGTCCTGTATTCTTTTTTAAACCCCACAAAGCTCAGCCCACGCATTGGCAATAGGAGGCTGGGCTGTGCAGGATTTGATAGATATACTCAAAACAACGGTCAAAATTGTGAAAAGCAGCAGCAGCAGGGAAATGGGAGGATTTTGAGAGAGGTAGCAGTCATTTCGGCTTCTTTTGCTAGACTTTTCTTTGCGTATTAGCAAGCAAAGCCGTGTGCTGTGAGTGCTGGCGTACACGCACACACACACACACATACACACACACACACACACACACACACACCAGCAGACGCAGAAAGCTGCAGCCTAGTTTCCCGGCCACAAATGGGATGAATGTGGATGACACTTATCCTCAACTTCCATCCATTCCATCTTTCCTAGAAGGTAGGCCTGCCACATTTAGAGCAGACACGTGGCCTGTACGGACAGCAGAGCCAAGCAGAGGGCTCCTTGTGTTTGAAGGCCATTGTGAGTCCTGTAACAAACACACACACACAAAAAAATAAAGACTCTGCAGAAAGCCACTTTCCCCACTCATAGCCATTTCATCCCAGTGTGGTATTTTTCTTTTCTTTTTCCTTTTCTTTTCTTTTTCTTTTTTTTTTTTTCTTTTATTCTCAGTCTTGGAAAACAAACCAGAAGAAAACACCTCATTTCCAAAGGTAAGACTTGTGAATCCTTAGTCTCAAACTCTGAAGTAGAGTCGCAATTCCACTAGGGGGCGCAAGATAGCAATTTGTTATCCTATCAATGTTGCGGTGGTAAAATTAAGGGGAAGTAAAGTTGTTAAAAGGTTCTCTTCCCCTTTAAGAAGGTTCTTAGCAAGAAACACACATACACACATGCCATGTGCACACATAAAAAGAAAGTAAAAACGGAAGAAAAGGATCAAACTATTTTTAAACCCAACTTCTCTACTGAGCTGTCAGGGCCCATTGGTTTGGGGAATAAGAACAGACTGTGTGGATAAATTCTAGGCTTGAAAGTGTCATGTTCATCATTTGAAAGCACAATTTAGCTGGCTTAGTTGGTAAAGCAGCCACCACACAAGCGTGAGGCCCTGAGCTCCAATCTCTAGTACTCATGTAAGACGGAGGCCATGTGTAATCCCACTGCTGGATGCGGAGCAGCGCAACAGAGACCAGTGGATCCAGAGTCAACCACCGGACAGTCGATCCCTGAGCTCCAGGTCCCTGTCTCAAAAATTAAGGCGGAGGCAGGGTGTGACGCCAAGCCTTTAATCCCAGCGCTCGGGAAGCACGGGGTGTGGGCCTCTGTGAGTTCAAAGCCAGCCTGGTCTACAGAGCGAGTGGCGAGCCAGACAGGCCTTCATAACAGAGAAGGTCTGCCTCAAAACAAAGCGGAGATTATAAGGGGGAGAGCGATGAAGGGAGTCACGCGACACCAGGCTCTGGCCTCCACAGCACTTGCTTACACAGGCACAAACATGAACACATACATACACCACACATCAACACGGAAATGAAAAACACAAGCCAATTCTTCCTTCAGTTCCATTAGAAATATGTTCGTTTTGACATCAGCCACGCCATCCAATTAGGAATAAAGTTCAAGAACTGGGAGAATGTGTTCCATGCCGGGTTTAATCACTCCACTCCATTAACACTCCATTAAGTAA